TATAGATACCCGTAGAAGGCTCGCGGCGCCAGTGAGAAGGCAACTGACCGCGTTCAGCATCCGTGCTGTGTTTGCGACCCACGAGAGATGTTTGCCAGCCCTTCGCCTGGCTTTCGACATAGTGTGCAGATGCGCCGGAGGAAGCAAAGCTGCTATTGCTTGGATTTCGGCTATGCATGTTCCGATCAATGCTTACACAACCAGTCGCAGGCACGGCGGACATTGCTGGATAAAGCTCTTCAGCAGCATATGGACCGTGCGATGGACGCCGATCAAAGTGCATAGCGGCTCTTACCGGATCGATCGGAGCACCATTAGCTTGCTGTTCCTCGTACGTGGGCTCCGCCAGAAGGCGATGCCACGGCAGAAGGGCAAAAGTGGCGACAGCAATGATGTCGGGCAGTACTGAGCAGGAAGAGGTGGAGGCGTCGGGTGAGTGCTGTTCGACTCGATTCCTGGCAACGACGTGGCGCGCAAGTCTTACACCATCCCGCGTAGAAGCCAGCCTGAGTGTGCGAAGTGCTTGGTCAGCCTTCATCAGAATGACTATCGATGGACCCACTTACTCTCGACACTTGAACGCCACTTCGACGAACGCCTTTGAACATGAATTTGATGACTAGCGAATGTCCAAGGCCCTCGTGATCAGAACTCGGCAGGAGGCAGACAATCATGCTATGGGTCCCGCTCACACAGCAGAACAGTGATGCAAGCCACACCTGCCATCTTGCAACGCTCCGTTTTGCGCGACTTTACAACGCTGAGATTATACTTGCGTCTCTGAAAGCAGACGAATGCTGTAAGGATCACCACCCCGTTGAGACAGACTGCGCCGAAGAGTGTCCAAGCGCCGATCTGAGGTATGATGCAAGGCTCCACACCGGTCAGCGCACCGCGGCCTGTCCAGCCTTGGCCTCAATCGCTCACCTTCTTCATCGTCTGTGGGAAGAGCAGCAGATATTGCACCGGGATCAGTCTCGTCAATAGCGAGGTCTAGATGAGGAGCGCTACTTACCAACAGCCGGTCATAGCTGCTGATATTCCCATTGATAGCCTTTCGGAGACTAGTCACACCAAGCACGCTCCACACTCCAATAGCAGCTACCAATAGGTGGATGACTGTTGCGAAGTGCTTGAAGAGGAACGGACTGACCGATCTGTACGGTCGGAAAGCGCGTTCTGTCAAGGATGCCAGCGCCGAAAACTACGAGTGGAAGGTTGAATATGGGAATCAGCGAGGGCATCGTCTCATTTCGCCCACTCGATCTTTACGGCCAGCCTCACCAACAGTAA